CCAAGCTGGGAGCCCAGCCAAAACCATCTATATCCAGCTTAAACCAGGCTGGTCAAGCTGGTCTTAGCTGGTCATTTTCCAGCCTGGCCAGCTAAGACCAGGCTGCAAATGGCTGGAAACCAGCCTGGAAATGGCCAAAACCCCTCTAAAACCAGCCTGGTTGACCAACTAAAACCAGCCAATCAGCCTAGGCTGGTTTAAGCTGTTTTCTTTTCAGTAAGGCTAATTTTCAAATGAGACTAGATCTAAAGATTAAGACCTTCAAAATAACTCAAATTGAAGCTCCATTCACAGATGACATATTGTTTGTAACTGACCTCTGATCAGGATTGGGTTTGCCCTTTTTCCTCATGTTATTGGCAGTGGTTTCGCTGAAGTGCAAGCGTCCTAATGTCACTTTGGTGATTTTGTCTCCTGGTAGATTTACTCTGAAAGGGGCGTTACAATAAAACATTATTGAAATGGTTCTCGCATGCTTCAGTTTAAGTATCCTGACACTCACCTGACCGGCAGGAAAGGCTTCTTGCTTCGGTCCGACTGGGACTGCTCTATAGTGATCGAATGGTTGGGTGCTTCGAGCTGCAAAAACAGTGTCAAACAAATCATCTGTTCAAAATATAAATGATTCTGTTAGGTGTTGCGCTAATAATCAGTATTAGCCTTCTATGATACAAAGCAAGCAAGTCAATCTAAGCAGTTAATATGAATTAAAGGGGACCTGTTATGCGAAAATCACTTTTATAAGGGGTTTAAACACAGTTGTGTGGCAGCGGTGTGTAAATTGATTGACGATCTCCCTTTGTACTTGTCATCAGTTGGGGAAAGCCTCGCCCCCTAGTGACAATAGGCTCGTTTGAGATGCGCCTTGCCTTGACTGGACTGTAGATGAAAGCAGGTGGCTGCAGTAAGGGCATCAGAAGTCACTTCCCGAATCTCGCTGTTTTGCCGCCTGTGCAGGAGATCACGTTCGCGTTTTTTATCACGGATGAACACATAAAAAAATACTATGGTAAATATTTAGTGTTTTTGGAAATAAAAATCAGTATTGGGTTATGTTTATAGTTATTGTGAAACCATAGCAACTATAGAGTTTAAATAGGCTATTTTTATAATAAACACTATGGTATTGCTCTAAATTACTATAGTATTTTTTTATGTGGGAGTGGATCATACCTGTCAACATTGGGATGTGAAAATAAGGGATAAGCCCAGCATAATAAGGGATTTCCCATCCCCCCACCAAAAAAAAGACTAAATATGTTAATTTGAAGCTGTTTCATTGTAAATAAACTGTTAAACTGTCAGTAATTTGTTTTAAAACTATTATTAACAAAAGAAAAATAAATATATACATTAGCGGCAAGTACATTAGCAAACAGTTCAGCTTATTAGAATTAAAATTATAATGAAACAGAATCAAGCTATCAACCTCATGAGCCGTTTCTCCACTGTTTAACATATTCTGATTAAAGAGCGACAAATGAATCTCTCATTTAATACGATTTTTTTATTACATTAAATAAGAGGTGTCACTTTAAAAATGCACACATCTAACGTTATAATAAAAGCATTCAACTGCTTTCCTAACTTTTTATGCTCATTTAAGACGAAATTAGTTGTGTTTGGAAAAAAATCCACCAAGATCGACATCCTTATATGTTATTATTATTATTAATTATGTGTGTATGTCTGTTTAAACACGCACCCAAAAGCCAGACTTTCACTCCGCTTCAAATCACGTGTACAGAATCCGTTTGGGAAACAGCCTCTGTTTATCACTATGGAGCACGTCAGCTGAGAGTCACGCACCATTATATGACGAGAGTCACGCACCATTATATGACTGTTTTGAGGATTGTATGGGATGAGCGAAAGCACCTGTAATCAAAAGGAAAGGGAGTCGCGCCGTTTTTAATATTTATTTATAAGTGTTTTCATTCCTAAACAAAGCGGAAGCACAGAAGACTCACGTTTTAGAGCAAGGGGCGACCCCTAGTGGTTCGGCGGTATGGGTTGCGTATAGGGAGGCTCGGCTGTTCAGAGAAAGACTGAAAATACGGGAGAAATACGGGAAAATATCTTTACGGGATGATAGCGGGATAGAGCAGTAAAATACGGGAGAATCCCGGGAAAAACAGGAGGGTTGACTGGTATGAAGTGGATGTAATTGAAATAATGTTTTTGCAAAAAGATGGTCAGAACAACAGAAGCTGAGCAGCTTGTTACTAGGGCAAGACGAAATCCGCGGACGTTTTCTGGGGAGAATTTTGGTACAAATCTGCGTAATTATTTTGGAAGTGTCATAACTAAAACCTCAATACACGAATTAAAAAGTAAAAAACTTTTAATGTTTACAATGCCAATCCAAGTAGATCCACTTTATTTGGAAAAACAAAGCAAGTCTCTCATATGATATCTCTACTAAAAGACAGAACATATTACTGTACACACTGCATTGTGCATAAATCAGATGAACATTTTCATATTAGTCAATAATATTACTGTGATTCATTTAAAAACTGAATTTACAGACATTTACTTAAATAAATAATCACAATTAATTCAACAGTAATGTTAAAAGAATGTGAGTTGGCGGTTCATTCCGCTGTGGCGACCCTGGATTAATAAAGAGACTAAGCCAAAAAGAGAAATGTATGAATGAACAAGTGGTCCATTTCTATAGCCACTACAGACTTTCTAGAGGGCATCAGAAGTGACATACAGTTAAAGGCGAGATTAATAGCCCTCTTGTGAAGTTTAAACAAAATTGTATTGCATCAAATATGTAAAAGTGTTGTTTAACAGACATTTGTTTTCTCTAGTCTTTGCCGTAATGATATGATATGAGATTTTATAATTTACATAATACAATACATGCTCATCCTAGTTATTGATTTGTAACACTTTGCTATATTAGGCAGGTCACATTATGTTTTTACAAAGGTGTGTTTTGGTTTGGTTTGCGTGTATATTTAAATAAATAAACATGCAATGGTCTTTGTCTTTTTTTAAATTATCAACCATGCCAGGTATAAACCTCAGTAAAAACAGAAGATCGAGAATAAAGTGTCAGTCATCCAATAAGCATTCAGCTGTGTCGTTTCCCATCATGCTTTCGGTGAGCGCAGTTCTTTGGAAAGCATCCGAGGCATCTGCCTCACCGTTGCGAGAGTGTTTTGGTGCGCATCAGCGTGAAATCAGAGCTAGGCGAACGCAAGTCGGACATATTTCTAATGCCGAGTTCAGACTGCAGGATTTTCAAAGTAGTCGTGTCACAGATGTTTTCACACTGCTTGACTATCTGGGCTAGCGTTTCGTCGCTGCTTTGTTTACACTGCAAGATGGATCGGCGACAGGGACTTTCACATTGCATGACTTTACTATTGGAAGAATCGCCGACAACTTCGTCCAAACTACGTCTCACAGCCAAAAACACGTAGTATAGCCTATCTTTTGTTATTAACTACATAATGAGAAAGAAGCCTTTAATGGGGTAGAACATGTACATGTTTGCTCACCTAGTGTTTAAAGGGAATTAGCCATTTCTCCTCAACGTTGATAATAAACTAATTTCTTTCTGTATGAAACGTCAAACAGACACGGGTGCTCCTGAGTCCTGTCAAACCTCCACTAGTTTTTTTCTCCATTTCGTGGGTCCAAATAAACTGAAAAAGAGCGCCTTTAACTTCTCCCTCAGCCTCCCGCTGGCCTGCAGCAGGTATATACACACACGCACACACACACAAGTAAATGCTGCTCTCTCATTGGCTGTAAAACTCAATCAACATTGGCTGTAAAACTCAATTCACACGGCATGATTTAAATCGCAGACAGCTCCAGATATTCAGCACACCAAATATCTCGCAGGCATCGGCGACTCATCGGCGATTCTCTCAGATCGCGTCTTTGATCGTTCATACTGTGTGATCGTCACTCACGTGCACGAGCAGCGATTTGCCTGTGATTTCAGGCATTTGTCGGCGATTTCTCAAAACCTGTCGGCGAGTCAAAATTGGGGCTAAAATCACGCAGTCTGAACTAGGCATAACCGGCGTGCATCTCGCTGGGATCACCGGTGATCGGTTCAGCACGGATTTTGCCCATCTCAAACGAGCCTAAACTCCTCATTCGCATAGGATGTTGGTCTTGTTTTTGAATCTGCCACTATGCTGACACACAGGCATTTTTAGCTCCGCCCGCTTTTGAAAAAGAGCACGATCTCATTTGAATTTAAAGTGACACTCAGCAAAACGCCACAGTTAGGATCAAAGCTTAAACGGGTCAGTTTCAGAGAGATAGAAAACATGATCTGTGTGACATTTTTGAGCTGAAACTTCACACACTCAGGGCCCTATCATACACCCGGCGCAGTGTGGTGCAAGGCGCGGCGCAATAGTCTTTTGGTAGTTTCAGCTTGGCGCAAGTCGTTTTGAGGCGTTGCGCTACGCTGTTTAAATAGCAAATGCATTAGCGCTCATATGTGCGCCCATAGGCGTTCTGAGGCGGACCGCTGGCGCGTTGCGATTTTGAGAAACTAAAATAGATTTTTCATTAGACCAAAACAAACCCGGTCTAAACTCCGGTGCAGAGTTGCGCCTCGCCTACACACTGCTTAATACACACAAGAGAGCAATAGGCAAATATCTTTACATATGAAAAAATGTAAATATTAAGGATATATATAGGATATAATAAGAATAGATATAGAATATAAATATAAAGGATTAAAATATTACCAAACATATTATTTTCTAGCCTACATAAATATGAAAAACCACTGCTTTTATGTCTTCTTCATCTCGGGAGGCTTTTTCAGTTCATTCATAACAATTTGCTTTTGTATAATGTTATTATTATTAGCAGTATTATTTATTATATCCATATTTATATTTGTTTTATTAAAAACAAGCTTAGATTTGCCCACCTGTCAGGTTTTAGACCATATGGGGCACAGCATGTGTTTTAGGATATAACTCAGGTTTTTGAGCACATTTTGTTATTATTGTTCATTTATTCGTTTGCTGGAAATTAGAACTGAATTTAGAAATAGTTTTGAAACGAATATTTGCGCTTAACAAACAAAATTAATTATTAATAGACTAATTGATGTCTGTGCGTAAAGGTTTCCCTATCCAAGAGCGAAAGTGAAAGTGATCCATTATCTCTCATTCTCACGCAGTAGATGCTCTGTTCAACAGTTTTCTGTTAAATAACTGTTAACTGTTTGCTTGTGAAATGCTAATTTTTTCCACTTAGACTTACTTTGCGTCCTGTAAATAGGATGCTCTTATGGCGCGACGCAGCTGGCTCTTAAAGGGAATGGGAGATGAGACTAATTGGTTTATTCTCAAAACACACCTATAACTCATTAAGAAAATAAACTCAACCCTTTTAGACCATGCGCCACGTCGCAAAGCAGATTTCCCGTCCTTAAATTAGCAAAAATGCGTCCTGACACGCCCTGAAAGTGTTTGCGCCCTGCGTTTTGCGCTCTGCGCATGGACCGTCAAAATACAGCCCTCACCCTCTAGGGACATCAGAGACTTATTTTACATCTTGTTAAAAGGGGCATATTAGCATTCCTTTAAAACATTCAAATGGCTTAGAAACCTCTCAACCTTCAGAGTTAACAATGTCAATTTGAAAATTGTGTTCTTGACTGAGATTACATCGTAAAATAAAAACTAAATCATATAAAGTATCAGGTTTTTTTCGTGATTCAACGTGCTTTTGTGCTTTTGGAAGAGCATAACGGGATCTGGATCTTTCCTCCAACAACTTTTGGTGTTGAAAAGTTAGAAAAAGTGATTTATTGTGTGGTTTGGTGTTGAAAATTACAGTACAGACACCTTAATTATACATTTATTATGTCTTGTTCAGCATATAGAGCCCTTTCACATGACGTCACGTTTCACTCCACACAGTGTATCGCTACTTCCGCCTACACAGAAATCCCCATAGAGAACTCACCCAGTCAGCTGTATATTTACTACAGAAACGGTTAGACTCTTTCTGTTGTCTGGTGAGACATCTGACATCTAAAACAAAAATCATCCAGATTTCTGCTTGAACAAAAAAAAAATGGGACTTTAAAAGGAGTCTATTGCTTTGTGCTGCTGTCTTTACTGCAGATGAAGCTGCTCTGGACTTGTCAGCAGTTGTCAAATAAAGATTTCAGATGTTTACACACATTTTTTTATGTCAGAATTATTTATTTTATTTTTATTTGTGTCCTGAAGAATAAAAAAATAAATAATACTGGGTGTTTACTGACAGCTGATTCACAAAACACATTCATACTATTCACGTTCTCTGTTTTTTTCTGTGTAGGTATTTTATTCATGAACAAAGCATATGTCTATTTAAATATTCAATTTAAATGAAATAAAATAACAATGTTGTATGTGACTTTTCCTAATCAAACAGAGTCATTTTAAAAATGTACAATTGCAAAAGTAACACCAAGACGACAATAAATTAATTTAGTATTATTAGATTGTGACATTATTTGTGACATCACTGATTAAAAGGTAGTACAGATATCAAATTAAATCCACGCAAAAGGTGGCGGTGGGACATATCTAATTACTTAAAATGGATAAACTGAACAAAACATTAATAAATGTTATAATTATTAGTATGAGTAGTAAATAATAAATGACGAAACTGGTTGCATGTATAGACATACTTACCCGGTAAAATAAGATTTAGTAAAGAATTGTGCTCATGCTGGAACAATTAACTGATGATATGCATTTATATTCAGAGCAGCATTAAAGTTAAAACAAATCCATTTTTGAGGAAATAAACGTAAACTTGCTAAAAAATCCAGTTTAATCCAGCCTAGGCTGGTTTTAGCTGGTCGACCAGCCTGGTTTTAGAGGGGTTTTGGCCATTTCCAGGCTGGTATCCAGCCTGGTCCAGCTAAAACCAGCTTGACCAGCCTAGCCAGGCTGGGAGCCCAGCCAAAACCAGCTATGTCAAGCTTAAAACAGGATGCTCAAGCTGGTTTTAAATGGTTTTAGCTGGTCACTTTCCAGCATGACCAGACCAGGCTGGAAATGGCTGGAAACCAGCCTGGAAGTAGCCAAAGCCACTCTAAAACCAGACTGGTCGACCAGCTAAAACCAGACAACCAGCCTAGGCTGGTTTAAGCTGGATTTTTCAGCAGGGAATCAATAAGTGAAAAGGTTGCTTTTCTTTATAAACAATAGTTCCTATTCTTAATAACCTAAAGAATCGTTTTCAAACTCAGAAAGCAGCTCATTAATGAAAGGGAAACATTTGGACACATGGCCAATACTAATAATAGTCTTAAATCAGATTGTGTAATATTTTTTGTACATTTTCCAGAGAAGTCTCCCATTCATTCAAAGGTAAACCGGAAACTAAAAACTAAACTAAAAATACACCGCGTTGCCGCTAGGGGGAAGTGAAGTGACGCCATTGTGAAAAAGCTCTATTGTTTCAAACTAAAACGTCAAGCAGGCATTGCTGGCTTGGTAGTTGGTCTATAAACATAATTTTACACCTCATCGGTATTTTCTATGGAATAATAAAGATATCTTGTACAAAAGGAAGTCTATATTTATTCAATCATGGTATGACAATGGAATATTTACTGTCAGTCAATTACTTAGTTAATGAATAGCCTATGGATTGCTTTTGTCAAACTCGGAATCCCTTAAAAAAATTCAAAGTACCTGTAAAACCAAAAGACTTTGCTGTTATTTTTGATGCAATAATAAGCAAAGTTGTATCACTGTTGCGCAATTCCTTATACCATGTGGACCAACAGCCAAAGACAAATGATGATGTTTTATTTATTGGGGATGTTAACATTGTTAAAGATAACCCTGCTGAAAAATCCAGCTTAAACCAGACTAGGGCTGGCTGGCTGGTTTTAGCTGGTCGACCAGCCTGGTTTTAGAGGGGTTTTGGCCATTTTCNGGCTGGTTTTCNCCCNTTTCCNGCCTGGTCCTAGCTGGTCAGGCTGGGAGATGACCTGCCAAATCCCGATAACAGCTAAAACCAGCTTGATCAGCCTGGTTGAAGCTGGATATAGCTGGGGTTTTTTTTTTTCTGGACTCCCAGCTTGGCTAGGCTGGTTGAGCTGGTTTTAGCTGGTTTTAGCTGGATTTAGCTAGTCATCTCCCAGCCTGACCAGCTAAGACCAGGCTGGAAATGGGTGGAAACCAGCCTGGAAGTGGCCAAAACCCCGCTAAAACCAGCCAACTAAAACCAGCCTGGTCGACCAGCTAAAACCAGCCTAGGCTGGTTTAAGCTGGATTTTTCAGCAGGGAAATGTAGTAATAGATATTTTAGGAATGTGTTAAAAAAGAATCATATACCATCTTCAACAGTCTTCTGGTCATCAAAATTTGGAAACATTGAGTGGAAGAACGTATAGTACATTTTTTAGACATAATAAAGTAAGACAGATATCTTTTACAATTTTACACAGAGTTTATCCTGTAAAAGAGTTATTTGAACGGTTTGAAGTTGATCAAGATAACTCTTGCGATTTTTGTGGGATTGTTAAAGAATCTAGTTTTTCAATGTGTTTACTCAAAATTATTTTGGATTGATGTTTCGAACTTTATTTCAAGAACATTTGGTGCACTAATACGAATTGGGTTATGTGATGTCATATTTGCTTTAGTACAAGATGGAATTGATTCAAAAAGTACAACCTATTGTCTTATACCACTAACATTATTACGTGGAAAATACCATATTCATGTCAAGAAATGGGCCAAAGCTAAGCCAAATTGTGTTCATTTTATAAAGGAGATTAAACAATATGGTTCTACATTATGTAACATTAAAAACAGAAAAGCTAAAAAAAAATTAAAAATGAAGCATTATGTAAATTTCAATTGATAGAATAAAAGTTTTTTTGTTTTTATTATTAACATTATCTTACCTATATATATATATATATATATATATATATATATATTTTTTTTTTTTTTTTTTTTTTTTTACCCCTGGCATCTGATTATACTTTGTATAACAGATAATTTACTTCATTTTATTTTTATTTATCTTTATTTTGTTCATAATTGTTGTGAGATGTATTCTATTGTACTATGTTTGTCAATAATTACAATGAAAAAAAAAACCTACTAAAACGTCAATAAAAGTCATTTTGATAAACTGCGGTGTTCAATTTTCAACAACGAAAGTCTACAGAGCAGACATAAAAGTCCCATAATGCAATTCAAAAGCATTAATAAACAAAAAAAAATCATGAATTGAAAATACACAACCTGCTAAATAACAGATTTTTGTTTAGACAAGTTGCTGAAAAGGAGNCATCCCTGCTGAAAAATCCAGCTTAAACCAGCCTAGGCTGGTTGGCTGGTTTTAGCTGGTCGACCAGCCTGTTTAGAGGGGTTTTGGCCCACTTCCAGGCTGGTTTCCAACCATTTCCAGCCTGGTCTCAGCTGGTCAGGCTGAAAAATGACCAGCCAAATCCAGCTAAAACCAGCTCAACCAGCCTGGTTGAAGCTGGATATAGCTGGTCTTGGCTGGACTCCCAGCTTGGCTAGGCTGATCAATCTGGTTTAAGCTGGTCATCTCCCAGCCTGACCAGCTAAGACCAGGCTGGAAATGGCTGGAAACCAGCCTGGAAGTGGCCAAAACCCCTCTAAAACCAGCCTGGTCGACCAGCTAAAACCAGCCAACCAGCCTAGGCTGGTTTAAGCTGGATTTTTCAGCAGGGATTTTATGCCAAAAATCAAGTAAAGATCAAGTTCCGATGCCAATTTTCGAACAATTCTATCAGTAAATAGATCACAACTCCACTTTTGACTGGTAATGTGCAATGCTAAGCACTATACACAGGTTTACAGGGGATTGTTTTTTTTCTGCATTTAAAGTTTTTTGAATCCTTCCAGACTTTCAAATAGCTGCATCTCAGCCAAATCCCCAAAAATATAATATATGTCAATGGGAAGTTTATTTATTTAACTTTGAGTTGATGTATAAATCTCAAATATTTAAAAAAAAATAAAATAAAATTATTGCTAGTTTTGTGGTCCAGGGTTTCAGCACAAGATTTAGCTTGTTTTGTCATTACCTTGACTCCAAAGACCTTGACGTGGAAGCTCTCGACCGGCATCAGACCGACGGGCGTTCGAATGAATCTGGGATCTCCGACCATGCCTATGTGAACCGTCACCTGGAAGTGGTTCTTCTTCTGACACACAAAGGCTTCATCGGCTGCGGAGAAGCTGAAACCCTTGTCGGTGTCCACGTGGTAACCCGGAGGTGGCCTACACGAGAGACGTCAAGAGATTGTAACTGTAACGAGATCTGATCCGCATGACGTGCGTGTGAATATTAGCACGGACGCAAATGTGATGCCGATTGTTTTTGGCAACAGTTCGATAATCACATAGTTCACATTTGCGTGCAGAGTTAAATGTAATACTGAATTGGCAACACTCTGCAGTGAGTTTATTGAACATATGTGACGCACATAAAAGATAACAGACATAACAACAACAAAGAAAAGACAAACAGGCATATTTAAAGATACCTAATTAATGAAACTACTTCCATACTGGATATATGGAATATCATAAGCTGTATGAGTCAGCAGTTCATGACTAAAATTAATAAGTACTGGGCAAAGACACGTGCGCATAAAAGATGACGACTAACAACAAACAAATTAGCTTTAAGTGAAAAAAATAGCTGCGCAATTGCGATGAACAGTAAAAAATTGATAGCCAATCAGAAACCATGCAGGTTTAAACGTGAACGAGCACCTAAAGTATTTGCCTATCGTAAACTTGCTCTGGTTTAGATGCTACTATACTTATCTGTTTATAATATTGGTGTTAACGATAACGTTAGACTTCACAATGGTCAAGCAAGCATTAATATCCTGTTCACTATGTGCTTGAAGGGATAGCTTACTAAAAATGCTAATTCTGTCATCATTTTCTCATCCTCCACTTGTTCCAAACCATTTTGGAAGCCACTGACATCTAAGGTAGGTAAAACATTTACTATGGAAGTCGACGGTTACAAGTTTTCAGCTTTCTTCAGTATTCATTCATTTTCCTGCTGCTTAGTCCCTTTATACATCAGGGGAATGAATCGGCAACTATCCCAGCATCTATTTCACACAGTGGATGCACTTCCAGCTGCAAGCCAGTACTGGGAAACGCCCATACACTCTCACATTCACGCACATACACTACTTCCAATTTAGTTGATCCAATTCAACCAAATAGCGCGTGTGTTTGGACCAACACAGGCTCATTTTGAAAACGTAGACGTTTCTGGAGACCGCAATTATGTAGCCGGAGGTACCAACACAATCTCACGGCAATTCCTAACTTTTTCATTTAGTGGCTAATTCGTATGAATTCGTACGATCTAATTCGTACAATTTAGTACGATTTGCTTATCCCCCAATGACGGTAGGGGTTAGGGGTGGGGTCAGGTGCCACGCCTCTTTTTTAAAATCGTACCATTTCGTACGACTGAACTCGTACGAATTCGTACGAATTAGCCACTAAACTGGCAAAACGTAAAATACTAACGTTTTCTCGTGAGATCAGGCTGGAGGTACGTATGGCTGCATTTGAATTTTTTTATGCGAACGCTAGGGGGCGGTGTGACGCGCTTACCGGCTGAGCTTACCTCCTTGTGGAGGGCTTTCCCGATGCAACCAGTTTGTTCGGTTAGCTCGTCGTGTACGCCGACAGACTTGAGATGCAGAGAAGAGTTGACCACGATGATGACGAGAAACGGATTCGAGTCCGAGGAAAAGAGCAGTTCCAGAAATCAAAAACAGAAAATGTGGTAAAATCCAAAAACGTGACAAGGGCTTTTCTTTTTCTGGAAGGCTTTTGTAAACCGTTGGTTGGGTTTAGGGAAGTAAGCGGGCGGGCGGGTCAATCTGTAAAATTGGTTGGGTTTAGGGAAGGAGGAGGGTCGATTGGCCGGTCGCCCAGTCAATCATTCAGTCAGTCGACAGCGGACTCTGGTGAGTTCACGAACGGCTCTCGGGAGAGACATTTGAGATAAGAAAAAGCGCACACAGCGGCCTCTTGCGAATTAGCGAAAACCAAAACTGCAAAAATATGTGCCTCCCGGTCTTCAGAAACGTCCGCAGGACTACGTTTTCAGACTGAGCCTGGGTTGGTTTGGATTGTGGGGGAAACCGGAGCACCCGGAGGGAGAAACATGCAAACTTGACACAGAACTTGTTCAGCCGGGACTCGAACCAGAGACCTTCTTGCTGTGAGGCCACAGTGCTAAGCACTGAGCCACCCCTTTCTTCAGTATAATATATGATATTATATAATATACATTGCTTAAAATACCCATCAACAAAAATCCCAGAAGATACTGCTTTATTGTGAGACATAAACGTTATTCAGAATCTGAGATACAACAGTACTATGTGTTTGAACATGTACCATGGTAAGGACTTTGGTTATGGCGATTTGAATTACCAAAAAAAGCTGTAATATCTAAACCAGAGATGCCAAAACTAGAGCCTGCAGGCCAAAGTTGGCCCAGGGTAACCTTTGATTTGGCCGTCATCTCATCTGTGAACAGATAGGGATGGTTTAGAGTTTGTCAATTCAAATTTAATGTAGCATTTTGTTTGTTTGTTTTATTGCTAAACGCTAACTGGAATTAAATGTTTCAATTAAATGGCGTAAATTAATCAGACATACTGTCACCTGCCAATGCAGAGCCTTTGGTGAGCGAATCTAGTCAAAGGCAGATTCTGCTTGACCTGTGTTTTCAGCATTGAACTCCGCTGTGTTATAAATGTGATTGTTTATGTTTTTATTGCAACCATTTAATATCATTTACTATTTATTTTGAAATTTTATGAATAATTAGGAAGTTAATCATGACAACTTAAAATGTAACATAGATTGGTATATTTACCCTAGGCCAGTG